GCGCTGGAAATAGCTTCTGCTCAACCTTTCCAGTTTGAACCAGAGCAAACCGAGAGAGAGAAAATAGTCAACCAGCACTTTTCATCTTCATCTAAACTAAGTGCTGGTTGACTATTTCCATTCTCTCGGTTTGCTCTGGTTCAAACTGGAAAGGTTGAGCAGAAGCTATTTCCAGTGCGTAAATCGGTTTTATATGAAATGTGCTTAAAAGGAAAACATTTGGCGTATTTTAATACCACATATATGTTATTGAAAGCACAGTACATATTTTAGCGCAAACATGTGTTAATAGCCGGGGTTCCCTATAAACCTGGCAGCCAATCAGATCACAGGGTCTCAGAGGAAACAGTGGGAAAATGTTTCAGACATCTGTCAGCGGCTGACTTCAGGTGAACAGGAATCTGTAATAACAGACCTGATCCCTTCAAAACAAAAGCCTGCCAGTGGCAGCTGTTAGGATGATAAAGCAGAAGAATACTTCCTGTGGAAAAGAGCAGCTGGAGGCTAACCTGTCACCAGTCTCTGCTCACACGCCAAGCGCCACGGTGTCATCAGCGCTTACCTCGATACACAACACGTGTTAATAAAGTTTTTACACTGATGATAACGTATCAGAAATACTGCAATGCTGTCGTCAGTGGACTGAAACACGTGTTGTGTTGGCGTGCTTTTCAATGATTTTAACAGATGCGCACCAGAAGCCCCGCCTCAACCAGACCAACATGGCAGCTGGACTGGCGCTGCGACCAACAAAGCGTCTGCATCTAAATATCTGTGATGAGGTCTCTGTGTCAGCGTCTGTGTAAATAAAGTTTTCACCTTTGTATCCTGTGTTGCAGACACAGGTGACCTGCTGAGAGTCATCGCTGCGGTAACAACTTCCTGCAAACTGCCGCGGGCTGCCGGGGCCGTCGGGACACATGCAGGGACGACAGTGGTCACCTGACCCCAGTGCTGGGTCACCATAGTAACCATCCAGACACCTGAAAGACAGACAAGAGCGCCGATGGCATCATCCTGCTAAATAAACCCAA